GCGTGCGCCGCCGAGCCGCCGCTGCACCATCCCGGCCCGGCCCCTCCGCTCCTATGCCCGGGCTGCGGCGCTGCCACTGTTCAACCCGAAGCTGCGCTCTGACAGCTGCGGCCCGGACCCGCCCACCAGGCCGGCGGCCAATCAGCTCCGTGCTCCGGTCACAGCCCCGCCCCACACGTGCTGCCCCGGGAGGCTTGGGGGGCGGGCCGCAGAGCCCTTTCTGCCCTGCTCTGGCCACAGGCACTACGGGACCCCAAGCAGCCAGTCCAGGCTGAGGATTCAGGGGTCTCCGCACAGCCAGGGAGCTGGGGCTGGGGTGCCGGAGCATGGACGTTATCTATAGAAAACTGCGCCCGTGACAAGCACTGAAATGAGCACCTGCCCAAACATCTCACACCCATCTTTATGATAACTTTATCATATCGCCTCAAAAAGACAAGTCAAGCTTGTTAATGTTTTACTTAACGTATTGTGACAGTGCGTGAAAATTACAACTGCGCCTTCCTTGCTTTACACGCAAGAAAATTGGTCTATCACGTGCTCAAAGTCATTTGGGGGGGGGTGTTTAGCAATTTCTTTTCTACAATCAGAGTGCCTTGACTCGTGGAAGCGCTCGGATATGAAGTGTTCTTTTTACTTTGTTGAGGGATTCCTCACAGCTGCGATGGCTAACAGGGACTTAGAAGTGGTGCCCCTTCAAGAGGCGAAAACTGGCCAAAGCTGGTGTCACAGCTGCCAAAACTCCAATCTGGTGGGTACTGAACTCCCACGACCTGCAGGACTCTCTCAACCCCCACCCCTACAGGAATGGGCTCCTGGGGAGAGAGGACTGAGGTCTCACGTGAACAGCGCTGGGCAGCCTGGAGTGGTTAGGGTGGGAGCACCTGTAACAGAGCTAGTCGTGGCTCCAGCAGCTACATGCTGCCTTGATTTAATCAGCTCATGGAAGGCTGATTCATGTAACTGAAAAGCATAGCAGGTGGAAGCTTAGCCCAGAACTCATGACTCTCCCTGGCACAGAAAGCTGTGTCGCCCACCTCTCCAGTGAAACCTGCCCCTGGCCACATTCCTGTGTAGTCTCCCCTCCTTCCTACAGAGATGACCCCGGGCAGGGCTCCCAAGGACAAAGCATTAAGCAGAACCCTCTTCTCCCAAGGGCACAGCATCCCAAGCTTCCAAATTCCAGGACCCAGGCTCCTGTCTGCCACCCAGCTGTGCCCCCGCCCCGGTGTGTGCCAAGGCCATGAGCAAGATCCATTCTCTCTATGGGTCTCAGTTCCTCCATTTAAGGATGCCTAGGAGAGTGGGTTACACAGTGGAAATCTGAGTGTTCACATGCAGCTCCCCTTTCAAATTTGGGGAGAATCCTGTCTGGTAGTGACAAGTGGAGGGGTGAGTATCTTCTGAGTTCAAGGCCATCACAATTTATAGCTTCTGAAAACCCACTGGAGGGTCAGCAGTAAGTTGGTTCCAATGGGACAGCACAGTTTGATCTTTCTTAGGTTTCATGAAACCTTCCAGCCAACTTGCCTCCATTTATATTTGCAGCTTTGATTGAAATAAAAATCCTTACAAACCTCAGAGGACAGAATGTTAGAACTGGGCAGAGCCACACAAACCAGATAATTACTCCCTAGTGTGACAACCAGGCACAGGAGTGACCCTGCTACAGACGTGCAGTGGCGGTTCTGGGGGCTGGGAACTTGGTGCCCACTGCAGGCTGTTTCCAGGCCCTGCATCCACGGGCAGGTGTCGCCTGCAGTGAGTCATGGCAGAGCCTACGGGTGATGCAGCACAAGGTACACACACAACCCAACCCTGCCCCCCTCCGCCACCAACCTTCTCTTGTGAACAGAGTTAATCCCCAAGCTGGTGTTTCTTGGCACCTTCGAGGTGTATTTTAAATTCTGCAAAGTGACTAAAAATATGCTTCAGCGTGTTAGGTATGAATGACTGTGACGGGAAGGTTAGAAAACATTTCATTCTGAAAGTTGCCTTCCTGACTCTTTCCAGCTTGCTGAGCTCAAATCTGCAAAGTGAGGTTGGGAAAATAAACCTGGATGGCCATGAATGGTGGGTGATTGACAGGCAAGGATAGAGCTAGGAAGTCAATGGGCCTGGGCCCGGGCCTCAGCAAGGATCCTCATAACAATGATACGTAGCCAGTTTGAGGATAGGAGCTCAGCTGTGGGATGCTGACCAGCTGGGACACTATGCCCAGCTCTGAAAGAGACACAGTCATGGCTCTAAGGTGGACCCCAAGTTCCCTCCTGAGCTAAAACTCTTTTCATCCTTCAACCTCCATCCTTGTGCAGGAAATTCCCACAGCTGGAGCAAGAGAAAAGGGCATAGTTTTGAAAACACTTTCAATTTGAGGGACCTCTGAGCTGGAAGCCTTGGGAGCCTAGTGGATAAAGAGTTACACTGCCAACCCAAAGTGAGTCGGTTCTAATCCACCAGCTGTTCTGTGGGAAGAAGATGCATAAATCTCCTGTTGTGTAATTCACAGCCTCTGAAAACCCACTGGGGTCAGCTCTACATCAGTTCCACCTCCATGGCACATAACAACAATTGAGTTATTAGCAAGCAAATCAGTATTTCCTCTGTGTGGGTCTTGCTAGAGTTTTAACTCAAAAGCAGATTCTAAAGTAGGTCCTTGGGTGGTGTAAGGGGCCACCAAGGATAGAATGTGAGTACAACCTGTCTGGCTGGGCTGTCCTGGCATGATCACAGTGGCCTTGGAGCCTCTGGCAGTATCATGTGAGGATCAGTTAGGACTTGTGCAGTTCTTTCCATCTCACAGGTGAGGAAATTGAGGCCCAGGAAAGAGAAGTAATGTGCCCATGGTCACATCCCTAGTAAATTATGGAGCCTAGGTTAAGCCTCCTAGGGAGTTCTGGTGGCCTTGTAGTAAGAAGCAGTGCTGCCTTCCCAAAGATATGTGGTTTGAATCCACCCGCTGCTTCATGGGAGAGAGATGACAATTTCTCATGTGTTTTATTGTCTCTGAAAATCCAGTGGAGAGTCAGCCATGGGTTGGTTCTGACTTGATAGTACGCAGCAACAACAGGCTAAAAGTGCTTCCTCTACTTCCCACAATGCTGCTTTTAGCTTCTTCAAGACTCAGTTTTCCTCATCTGTATAATGGGAGACCAAATTCAGTGACAGCAAACGGTTCCTTAGCTCTGGTATTCATTAGGTCTAGATTACGATTTCAAAGGAAACAGGACACAGGGCATTAATTCTAAGGACAAATACATCTGGAAAGTGGTGCTATAAACACAGAGAAGTGGGTTTCTTTATTGAAGAGCGTTTTAGAGGCTTTTGTATGAGAGCGCTTACCTTGAGTCACTCAGAGAGAGGGATAGGCTGAATTTGACCCCAGAACGTCTCATAAGACCATTGCACAGTTGATCACACTGTGAGAAACACTGGTCTGGAATAACAGCTCCTTGGAATCTGGGAGCTCAGTCCACCTCTCTTATATCTATAACCCTGCATGGGACTATCTTAAGGCTCTGGGCTCTCTAATTCCTTCCCATTTGGGGTATCTTCCTTTGGGAATCCCTCACCCATGCCTAGGCTTTCAACAATCATCCACGCACCCAAGCCTCCTGCTGATTGACATCTCAACTTCCATCTCTAGACCTAACCTCATCTCCACACACCAGGTGCACATGCCCACTATCCATCCTCCACGCATTCCTCCCTAGGCATCCCACAGACACCTTAAACACAACTCATCCAAAAACTGACCTCACCATTTCCCCCCAAATCAGCTTCTACCCCTGGTACGATTCATCTCTTCATAAGTGATACCACCACCCACATTATCACAAGGCAGAAAGCCTAGCAATGATTCAGGAGTTCTTCAGTCAGTAAACACATCTAAGGTCTGGGGGAGCTCTGGTGGCACAGTGGTAAGTAGTTGTGCTGACAACTTGAAAGGTCCATAGTTCAAATCCACCAGCTGCTATGAAGAAGAAAAAAAGGCAAACTCCTCTGTGTTTTACTTTCAGTGAAAACCCGTTGGAGGGTCGGTTGTGGGTCATTTCCAACTTGATGGTACATAACAGCAACAGTAACAACATGCCCTGTTTATTTTTCTCTTTATTACCTTCCAATGACCCTGCTGCCTATTATGTTAACCCACACCTTCCATCTCTCACCTGGACCCCGATAAGACTCAACATTATCTGCCCCAACATCTCCCTCTACTCTTTTCTCCAAACTTGCCAAGGTTATTTTCTCAATTATACAGATGATTCCCTTCACTATCTTGCCCAATAAATTGTCCTATCCCCCCATTACCTACAGGATAAAAAAATACCTAAGTTCCTCAGCATGGCCACCAAGACACTTCGTGGCTTATGCCAATCTCCAGCCGCAGATTCTGTTGCCCGTCTCTCAAATTACACCTCACTGCACTGACCCATCGATCCCTCAATTCATGTACAGTTGCCAGACTTTCTGAAGCCTGGAGGAAATGACAGAAATTAATGTATTTGTCCCCGCCCTTCCAACAGAAAAACCCTCGTTTCAGTAATGCAATTACTGATTCAGGACCACGGAGAGCGTCACATGCTCAAACCCCCTCCCCTAGCCTGTCTACACTGTTTGTCCTGCTTCCTCCTCCCAAAAGACTTTCAGAAACCCAGACAGAGGCGACTTCTTCCAGGAAGCCTTCCTTGACCCACCTGGGCAGTCATTTCCTCCCTGGCTCCTTGAGTAACTTGGTATCCCTCCATCATGCCAAACACATTATGCTTATTCTGTTTGTGCATAAGTGCCCCACCTCCCCTCACAACAGGGAGCTCATACCTTGTCTGATTCATCCCGAAGATCCAGTACAGAGGAGGTGCTCAAAGAATGTTTGTTGACTGAATGAATAAATGGCATTTAGCAGGTGCTCAGGAAATGCGTGTTGATTTGCATTATGTGTCTATTGCTCTGAGTGACTCAGAATCAGCCAGAATCCTTTCTTAGTCTCCCTGGGAAAGGCATTTTTCTCTCTGATTGCCTCCACCCTCCATTAGTTTCAACCTACCACTTGCCTCTAGCTTTGGATTAGCCTTATCCACAGGTCAATTTCCATGATGGGGAGAAGGTACCCTCTCTCTGCTCCTAAGGTTGCCAAGCTGGGACTTTATCAGAAGCCCCCGAATCCCCAGTCTGGGTTTGCTTCCTAAGATCTGCTCAGAACACTTTGTCTCTGCCTCTATCTCCTGCCTGAAACAGATGGTTCCAGGTCCCCCACTAACACAGAAGTTCCTGTTCTGTCACTTGCATATTTTTAATGCTTCTCTAAATTACCACCGTTTCAGTCTCCTTTGCGTGCGGATGCAGAGGCTATCAGAATGAAGGATCTTTTGGAGGGCATCGAGTCCAGCGACATCCCTGTCCCACAGGGAGCATACATCTCTGAGCACGGCAGTGGCCTGCCTGCGATAACTGCAGTGGGCGCCCTTTTTATTGTTTTGGTTTTCTTTCATTTTTGTTTTGATGCTCTGAGTCCATTCCTCTTTCTAACAACATCCTTCCTGGTTTCCTGGTCTTAATGGAGCTATAAATCAAGACACAGATGGAAGATTCAAGATAGCTCAACTGAACTCTATTGGCTGGGGTTTTAAATCTGGAGTAAAATGTCAAAACAATACCCAAACTCTAACTCATCGTCATCAAGTGAGAACCGATTCATAGCTGACCAGCAGGTTTTGGGAGGCTGTACACAGCAGGAGAAAAGCTTGCTCATCTTCCTCCCTGAGAGTGCCTGGTGGATTCAAACCATCAGAGAGGCACCACCTTTGAGCTAGCAGTGTAATCCCCCATGTACTAGGTCACCAGAGCTCCTGTCAAAACAATGGGGGGGGGCAGAAAAGTCTGGAATTCTGGTGAAGGTGCCCACATAAGATGACCCCGGAACCCTAGCTTCTGATTATCCAAACTTTCTAGCTATTCTGTGAGCTCTTGACAAGCATTCAACAAACCCCTCTTCCTGTCTAAGACAGTCGCTTTCTTTTTTTTTTTTAAGACAGTCGCTTTCTGTTGAATATCACCCTACAAACCCCGACTGCTGTGGTCACAGAGGGAGCACGCGCAGTCCCATTGCCTCCCTGCGGGTGGAATAAAGCCATGCTGGCTGCCTCCTGTCAGCTCTATCTTTAGAGTCTACATTAGACCCACCCAGGCACAGAGGAAAGAAAGTCAAACAGCTCAGGAACGAAACAGGCAGACCCATGCCTAGGGTGGCAGGAGAACAAGACAGGGTTGGGGGACCATCTGGATGCACCTGTTCAGCCTTCCAAGTCTAAGGTCAAGGTTAGAGGGGAGCTTTTATCAGTATCTTCATGTGTGCTCTCTCTCTCTCTCTCTCTCTCTCTCTCTCTCTCACACACACACACACACACACACCCCTACCTACATGCCAGGGTGACACCTTTGAGCTGGAATGCAGCACATGGCTCAGAAGGGTAATTAACACATCAATTGTGATGGTTAGGATTGAGGACTTCATCTTGTATTTTTGCCCCCTTGGCATTCCAACAAATAAGCCCCAAGCCTTTGGGACTGGGATTGCTCAACAGTGGTCCTTTAGGACGGGAAGTTGTGTTTATTGTCACCAGATTCCTGCCCAGTCCAGCTATTCTGGGTGCTCACAGACCTGTGACCTTAGCCCACTAAGACTTGGCCCCAGGAGGCCAAAGGCAGGAGCTGAGTAAAGCTGGGGCCTGGGGTGGTCTCTGTCATCTCCAGGGTCTGTCAGCCCCAGAGCCCCTCCTCTGTTGGAAGCACTTTGGACAATTTGAAAACAAAACAAAAGCAACCTGTTGCTGTCAAGTCATTTCTGACTCATCAGAACTCACGTGTTTCCAGAGTAAAACTGTGCCCCCTTTGGGTTTTCTTAGCCACAGTCTTTACAGAAACCATTCACCAGACTTCTTTTTCCTGACGTTGCTGGGTGAATTTGAATTGCCAACCTTTAAGCTAGCAGTCAGCTCACTACGTAGGGCCCAGGTATCCTGCAAGATTCCAGCTGAGCATCTTGTCCCAAGCAAAACCATCCTGCCTTATTCAGCAACCCAGAACACCTGAATGGGTGTAAGTCAGAAAAACAACCCTAATTATGGGATCAAAACCCCAGCTCCAGGACCTGGCAAAAAAACCCTTTGGTCTCTCCCATCTTCCCTGCCTCTTCTTTCCACTAAAACATACCCTCCCCACCTTTCCAACCATACCCCTCAATGAATCATCTACCTTCATTTAACCTCTTCCCTTCACCTGGAATTCCCTACCCTCACATCTTCTGCTGTTTGCCAGCTCATAGCACTGATGTAACCCCTTCCTCCACCCATAGGAGTGCCTCATTCCATACCAACTACAGCTGGTTTGTTGTTTTTGTCAGTTGCCACCGATTCTGACTCCTGGCTATGTCGTGTCACAGAATAGAACTTCCTTATAGCCTCATAGTGTTTTCTTGGCTAACATCTTAACAGAAACCGATTGCCAGGTCTTTTATTCCATAGTGGCATTGAGTGGGTTCGAACTACCAACCTCTAGGTTGAGGACAAGCAGTTTGCACCACCAGGCGCCGTCAACAGTATGATTTATAGGGAGCTGATGAACAACAGCTCTGAACCTGTCCTTCCTATGCCATCCTCACCATCTCTGACACACTTGAGGACCATCATTGCCCTCACTGTGTCAATCCACCTCATTGATCCATCTTCCTCTCAATCCATCTCATCAGCCCATCTTCCTCTCTTTTGCTGACCCCCCGGTTTTTTTTTCCCTTTGGTTTAGCTGAGTGTTCCTCTCACTGCCTCGTGTTACGAGATGCCAGGGCAGAGACAGAGTCTGGGTCACTACTGTTGACCCCCAAGATGGGTACCTGATGGCACCAGTGTGTTTCTATAGAACTGACATGAAGGAGTTTTCTGATTTTCCTCCTCAGCCACCGCACTCAGGGGTAACAAGAGAGGTGACATTTAACACATAGGAAGCCCTGATCATTTGGGGCTGCACTATTTGAGAGCGCTGGAGGCCTGATGGTAAGAAGCTGCACTGCAATACTGAATCATGCTGTTCAAATCTACCGGTTGCTGTGCGGGAAAGGATGGGCAGTCTCCTCCCTTGTGATTTACCACCTCTGCAAACCTGCAGGAGGGTCAGCTATGGGTCAATTCTGACTCCACAGAACACAACTATCTGAGGGCTAAGCCTCCTAGGTTCTCTGCTGAGGACTTTTGGATGGAAACTTCAAAGCCTGGAACTGGACTTCTGAGAGAACTACAGAAGGCCTGAACCACAGCAGCTATGCTCAACATTCCTCTCTGTGTGAAGCTAGGGAGCCTGCAGCCCAGGGAGGGGTGAGAAGTGGCCAAGGTCACACACTCAGCACCACAATGGCTCCAGCCCAGACGGGCTACCTCTTTCTCAAGAAAACCAGATATCCTCATGGTGTCTTTCCCTTATAATTTCACGGGCAGCCCAGCTCAAGAGCTCCAAGTATCAAGCCGTCAAGGGGGTGGTCAGTTTGGTGTGCCAGCTTCTCCAGGAGGACGGAGCCTAGTGGCCAGACAGAGGTTGAGCTTCAGGAAGTTTTTCTTCTCCAAACACTGGTGTCAGGGAGGAAGCCGCCCTCCCCCCAGAGGCGAGGCTGGAGCAAGCAAAGGTCGGGGAGTAGGCACCGGTTCTGGATCACTCACTGCTCCTCCGCACAGTCTGGAGACAGGCACAGCCTGGCACAGCCGAGGTGGCAATCAGCAAAAGAACAAGTGATCCCCTGGCCGGGCACCAGGGGAGGGCAAAGCAGCTCCTGCTCATGGGCGGAATGAACATGCCTCCCCACCGCTGCCCGCCTGGAAGCTGTTGGTCTCCTGCAGGGCCGCTGAGCGCAGCTGCTCTGAACCCAGCAGCCAGCGCGGGCCTCACAGAGCCAGCGCCCCCACCCCCGCCAATATACACACGGGGGTGCTGGGGGTCAGCGCGTTCAGAGCGTGGGCCAGGAGGGGCGGGAAAGAGCCGGACCCGCAGCCGCCCACCCTGTGAAGGTGCCTGCGTGGGAGCCGCAGTGCGCACGTGTGGACCTCAGAGCCACACCCACTCCAGTCTTCTAGAGAAACGTCTATCCCCCAGACTACCTTTTGTTCAGAGGGTGAACGCGTCCGAAGGAGTGTCCCATGCCCTCCTGGTCCTGCAGAGCGCAGACCTGGGTCAGAGTGGATTTCATGAGCTGGGAGGGCCAGCATGGGGACAAAGACGCATGCCGAGCAGACCCCACATCCCCCATGTTCCTGGCCTGAACTATCTACCACTCTCCCTCGCGCTGTCAGCATCCTGAGGCTGGAAATAACGTGCTGGTCTGCAGACACGGGTTCCACAACTTAGTGCTGATCATATTTTAATGGGGACTAGCTAGCAGCCAGGCTGAAGACCCCAGGCCAGGCCGCCCCATACTGGATGAAGGCATAGGCCCAGGCCTCCTGCGGAGGGTGCTGACAGCTCAATTCCCAGCCTGGCCCGGGCCTGCCAGCTCTCTAGCAGGGATGGAGGAAGCAGCAGGTGCAGCTCGGCCAGGGTCCCGGAGCCCCATCCAAGGTGTCCGTGGCTTCGCTCCTGTGGAGGTCTGCAGGAGGGCTGCGTGCTCCTCACTGAGGCAGGCCTCCTCACTGCAGACACAGCCCTCAAAGCTCCTCCGACCGGGGACTCAAGAGGCTTCCACACCTGAAAGCAGGTCTCGGCTCTCCGCACCCTTGTTGTCTGCTGTCCCTGTGGGAGCAAAGATGTTCAGTCAGCCCCAAAGGAGGGCAGCTGCTTTGGGATCAGGCCTGTGTACAGTCTTCTCAGAAATCTTCTAAAAGCCATTCGCAAAATATATTCCAACCCGACTCCTGTGTCCATCTCCCTGTCAGAGGTTGCTCCTGGGCTGGTCTTGTTGCTGCCTTGGTCTCTACCACCCTCCTCCCCAGTCCTGCTCCAACCACACGAGTCTTGCCGGCTCTCACACATCAGACCCAACCCACCTCAGGGCCTTTGCACAGAAAACTGTACTCCCTCACCTTCTGCAAGCCCTTACTCCAGTGTCGCCTGTGCAGTGAGGACCTCCTTACTAAAACTTCTAACCTGCTTCGTACCTGTTGTTCACACTCTTCTGTTTGTATCTCCATAGCACTTCTTACCTCAAATATATATATATATATATATATTTCTGTTTGTTTCCCTGCTGGAAGCTCAGCTCAGTGAAGACTTCAACTTGGCCTTATTCATCCACTCCTCGGCAATTACATTTAAAGTTGCCATTGACTTGGTTCCAATGCATGTTGACCCTGTATCTATCACAGTAGAATGGTATTCCATGGGCCTTTCAAAGTATCTGATTTTTTGAAAAGAGATTGCCAGCTCTTTCTTCTGAGGTGCCCCCAGGTGTATCCAAACCACTAGCCTGTGGTTACCAGGCAAGTACATTAATTGTTTTGTTATGCAGGGCCTCCTGCCTTCCTACCTGTCATCTCTCTCTCTCTCTCTCTCTCTCTCTCTCTCTCTCTCTCTCTCTCTTCTCTCTCTCTCTCTCATAGCTGGCCTTCCGGTGGTTTTCAGAAGCTATAAATCACACAGGAGGAGCTTGCCCATCTTTCTTCCTTGGAGAAGCTAGCAGATTTGAACTACATGCCTTTGAGTTGGTGGCACAATTCCTTACCCACCAGAACACCAGAGCTCACCATTGGACAGTTTGTTGTTGTTGTTGTTAGGTGCCATTGAGTCAGGGCCCTATGAACCACAGATCTGAACGCTGTCCTATCCTGTACCAACCTCACAATCTCTTATACATTCAAGCCCATTACTTCAGTCACTGTGTCACTCCACCAACTCTTCCTCTCCTTCACTGTCTCTCAATTTTTCCAAGCATAATGTCCTTCTCCAAGGCATAGCCTCTCCTAGCAACATGCCCAAAGTATGTGAGATGAAGTTTTATCATCTTTGACTCCATGGAGCACTCTGTCTGCACCTACTCCAAGACATGTCTGTTTGTTCTTTTGGCAGTCTATGAGATATTCAGTACTTTTCTTCAACAGAGAGCCCTCAGGTCAAGTGATGAGTACCAGCATACCAGATTCAGAGGAGACATCACCCTCATCTGGACATTATGCTGCTGTGCCAGCCGTGTACCTCAGAAGGAAGAGCAGAGGCATTAATTCACAGAAAGCCACTCCAGGAGCAGAAGCTCAGAGACAAGGACTTTCTTCCAGAACTGCCACAGAGAGAAAATCTTCCATAAAACTGGAATGTGGGATTCAAACTTGGAGCCTCCTAAACTGAGTCTTATTTGTCAGTTTATTGTGTTGGGGGAATGATCTGCATGCTGCTAATTGTGTTGTTGCTCTGGTATGTGAATTCTTGCTTGTTTATCATTGTTCCAATTAGTACAGCATTGTCTGTCAGTTTGCTGTACTGAGCTTACTTGTGGGCATTGTGAGGCTAAGGGCTGTGCCACCAGTGTGTCAAATGCCAGAGGGGTCACCCGTGGTGGACAGGTTTTAGCAGAGTTCTCAGCTCAAGACAGACTAGGAAGAAGGATTGGCTGTCCACCTCTGAAATAGCAAGCCTCTGAAAACCCTCTGAACAATAGAGGAACACACATCAGGGACTCAGTTGGTGTATAAGAAGCATTTTTGAGTGAATGAACAAACTGGCCTGAGGTTCAGGGCTGACCAGGGTTTCCTGCCTCTGTGAAGCTCAGCCCTGAGCCTGGCCGGTGTGGAAAGGGCAGAGGTACCTATGCCTGGCTGCTGCACCTGGGCCTGGTCTCTCTCTAGGTGCAGTGCAGTCAGCAGGAAGCAGCTGCCCCCCAGGGCGATGACAAAGGCACAGCACAGGAAGCTCTGCTGCAGACTGAGGAAGTGCTGCAGGTAGGAGTCTGGGCGCCCCGCCCGCAGGGCACTGGCGATCTGTGGAGGAGGGAGGCTGGGTCAGCTAAGCCCACCAGGTCACCTATTCAGGCCTCAACACAGACAATTCCGCCCCACGACCCTCTCCACTCCACCCTTCCCACACGCAGGCCTTACAAGTCCAGTGAGGTAGGGGCTGCTGGCGTCTCCCAGGATATGGCCAACTGTGATCTGCAGCGCTTCGGCTGTCCCCCGACACCTGGGCACCACCACAGACTGCAAAAGACAGGACACCAGGGAAGTCCCTGAGAGAGGTCAGAGGAGACCCTCCTACCCACCTCTCGTTTCCCATCTGCCAGTGACAAGGGCCTTGAAATAGCACAGACTGGGGCAAGTGAGGGGCCACCATTGTAACACCAATCCTGTGTCCTGAGGTGAGGTACCAAGGCCTCCTCTTGAGGCTTTGTTCTCAAACTAGAAAGGGATCAAGTGTTCATCAGTTTATGAAAGTATAAACAAGGTGGTGGTGGTGTTCTGGACCATAGAGTCAGAACCAACCCACAGCTGACCCTCCAGCAAGTTTTCAGAGACAGTTAATTGCATGGGAGGTGATTGCTCATCGTTCTCCTGAAGAGCTGGTGGGCTCAAATCACCTGCCTTCAGAATTGCAGCACAGCTTCTTGCCACTAGTCCACCAGATCTCCCCATATACATATCTATTTACATATACATGTTGTTGTTGTCATGTGTCATAGCGACCCTACGTACAACAGCCCTAAACCCTGCTCTATCCCTTGCCAATTTTATTGTCTCCGGAATGTCTATCCCCATTACTCCAGTCACTGAATCAATCCATCTCATTGAGGGTCTTCCTCTCCTATACTGTCCCTCCACCCTCCCAAGCATGATGACCCTCTCCAAGGACTGGTCCCTCCTTGCAACATGTCCAGAGTATGTCAGATGGAACTTCAGAATCTTTGCCTCCAAGGAGCTGCCTGGCTTCGTACAATGGCATATTGTTCGGACAAAAAGGAGAATTAAGATCTTTCACGTGGATTAACATGCTTTTGTGTGGATGTGTGTGAAAGCTGGACAATGAATAAGGAGGATTGAAGAAAAGTCGATGTATTAGAACGATGTTGGAGAAGAATCTTGAATATCTCCCAGACAGCCGGAAGAATAAACACATCTGTCTTGGAAAGAAGCGCAGCCAGGAAGCCCCTTAGAAGTGAGAATGGTGAGACATCCTCTCACGTCTTTGCTTTGGCCAAGTTATCAGGAGGACCCAGTCCCTGGAGAAGGATGTCCTGCTGACTAAAGGAGAAGGTCAGCATAGAAAGGGAGGAGGATCTTCGACGAGATGGACTGACACAGGAGCTGCAGCAATGAGCCAAAATACAGTGACAGCTGTGAGGCCAGTGCTGGAGCAGCCAGGCTTTGTTCTGTTGCAGGGAGGGTGGTTATGAATCAGGACTTACTTGACCGCACCTAACAATAACCACAGCCCCAAGATTATGTTATTATTACTACTAATCTCGTACCTGAAAATAACACCCTGTGACTCTGAGGCTCAGAATGCCTCTGGATTATGCGAGCACATGATGCCTTCTGGGTGACTCAAATATTTAACCAAAAAGGTGGAAGTTCAAATCCACTCAGGAGTACATGGGTGTGGGCGGGGG